TATAAACGTAATAAACTTGCATACTCTCTGAACGGAGAACATGTAACTTCACAGATTTCAATTCGCAGAGTGTTACCACTTCAAGGGACACAGCTTTAAAAACGTGTCTATCCGTATGTCTGTCTGTTGTATTGAACACAGCACAAAAAAGTCAGTTATATCACGTTAATAACGTGACTTGAAACATGACGGATACGCCGACTTTATACATTTGTATTAACTCCATCACATGCACGTTTTTCATAAGTTTCGTACTCCTGTTGTGATAGGGTGTACTTGAGTGTTTCATGCAGTGGTAAATCGCCCGGCATGTACCAAATATTGCCTACGAAGGGCTTGGCCGGGCGTGGACTGGGAGATTTTCTATATTAAGTTTCCTCTTAATTTGTTTTAATGTTGTTCGAGACAGTAAGTGTTAACCTTTTTGCTGTTCTTATGATTGCGCATATATAGTCGCCCACTAAATCTCTAACATATTTCATTTTCTAACGTTTTTCATTTTGTTTTCATAAACGTAAAGGGGTGTTCGTGACCGAGTTGTTAAGGTCGTTGACTTCAAACCACTTTCCTATCAAAGTTGTGGGTTCGAATCCCGACAGGGACTTTGGGTTCTTTCATGTGAGGAAGCTATCCAGCTATAGCTTACGAAACGTCGGTGGTTCTACTCCGGTGCCTTAAATAATGCACGGAAGGGCACCTGAGGTTTGCCTCCACCAGTAAAGCTGGAACGTCGCCATATGACCTGTGCTGTGTCGGTGTGACGTAAAATCCGATCAACCAAACGAACGAACAAACAACAACGTAAAAAGATCAAAATAAATATGTTATGACCATGGGCTATAGCACACTATTGTAAAGAATTCAGCAGTTTCCCACGTACATTAACAGTCCATTAATATCATCAATGCAATTTTATAACCGGCTGACTTTCAGTTCAATCTTTTGATATAACTGTTTTTATACTATAGAAATGTTTGAACGATTATTTTTTAAAACAATAGTTTAAATGGTTATTTTTTTTCTTATTCAAACTCGCGAGAAATGTTATTGTTTATCATAAAATGTCGCAGGCAACTTAAAAATCCGCGAGATTTTCTGTCGAAATCGTACAAAGCCAATGCAACTCATTCATAAAATCGCGCCAGAATGACGTCATAAAAACTAACATGGATGTGGATGAAGATTGATTATATAGTACCGATGTTAACACTATATAGTGTGATACGTAAGTTTAAATTGTTAAATTGATCATTGAAAATTAAAATATAAAAGTTTGTTGTTTCTTGTGATCTCGTTTATTTTTACTTAAGCGGTTGTTGGGTGTGGAATAGAACACCCAGATGCGAATACATTCTCCGTTGGTGGTCTCCCTAATTTGTCCTGTTAGATTGAAATGATATCGGTCACTGTCTGGAGGATGTTTATCAGCATATTAACACCGGTTTGCCGTTTTGATGCGGAAAAAAACAAACAAAAATAACAATACCCCCATAAAAAACGCACACACAAAAAACAAAAACAAAACAAACAAAACAAACAAAAAAACAGACCTACATGGCGTTTGATCAAAACTCTAAACCGGTGTTAAAGTACAGGAACATTGTAATTGTGGAAAAAGACACTAAATTGAAACGCGTTGTACATATAACGTTTTTTTTTATTAAAGCGGGATAAGAATAGTACAAAATACGACTGTGAAAACATCGATGAGACCAATATTATTTCTGAAATAACCCATGTATGTGTAATATACATATATCCCGTATGTGTACCTCTCTCTATCTAAACTTTTCCACAGTTAAAGTAAGATGACTGTACATATATTTATTTAATACATACAGTTGATAAAGTTTGTCATTTTAAGATTAGATTAAATGATAATTATGTATTGAGGTTTTTAATGAATACATGGTTTGAAATAGACAACTGAATAATGAATTTAATGCTTAAGAAGATGGGTAACTTTAAAATATCAACTATTTATATGCGTTCTCATAAAACGAACAGAAAAAAGATTGACAGTCAATTTTCAAACAAGTTTTTTATGCATTCATATAACCTAAATTTTCAAGATAACAAAAATTAGTTCGGAATTAGCATAAGCTTGTTGACAAAAAGTTGTTTACTTTACTTTTAGCACAAGGACGTTAAACAATAACGTAAATATAATTTGATCTAGTCCAGTCATATGTGGCACTTATGTTCAGAGGAGCTCGTGAGAAAATGAACCATGATAACATCTTCCGGCTGTCCACACACTCCGCTTTGCGGCTTAAAGGGACTCCATCTACGTTTTTTTGACATGACGGGTTGACGACTTTTCGTGATTAATTCCATTTTATGTAGGTCTACACAAAAAGCTTGTGTATAAAATTTCAGATAATTTGTTCGCTCTGTTTTTTTCCAGAATAATTATTGTAATTGTGAAAAAATGACACAAATTGAAACGCGTTGCAACGTTTTTCACTCAAAGCGCGCTAAGAATAGTACAAAATACGACTTTCGATTTATTTCCGGGGTATATTTCTTCATAACAGTTTTTATATCTTTCAGTTTTACGTGTCCCAGCTGATCTATGTAAGAACTTTAAATTTTATGTTTTTAGGCTTTTGGACTTTAGTGGTGTTCCTTTAAAAACAACGCCGTTAAATCTTAAACCGCCATTTTTATATACAATGTATAAATGTCGCTTTGACTAGCGATCTATTTGGTCCAAATGTAGGTGTATCCATTCGGTGCCTTTGAAGATGGGGATAAAGGGTTTACAAATGGCAAGAAAATTAGCGTTATTTCTTTTGTATTTATTGAATAATTCCCTCATTGTTTTGCGATATACAAATGTACTATTTGACTCTTACCACGTTAAATATTTGAAATGGACTTGCCGTTTTTCATTTCAATGTGGTCAAAACCATTTATCATTTTAGGGCAATTTTCAAAATGAGTACTGTCTGAGTTGCTACATGGGCAGACGTCACGGATGTGCCGGCTGTTCTCGGTTGGCACTAGTCGCATGGGTAGATTCAGTTGCCGGCAGTAGGTTACGGTGATAAAAATAATAAGTCTTGAAAAGGTACAACCATCATACCTTCTTCAAAAGTGTCATCTTACAGATGTAATGAAGACGATGTGATAGCAATTTTTCTCTTTCGCTTAATCTCGGACAGTTATAAGTTGTTTTCCTCGGCGAACCCGTCTGAAAGTAGACACCTTTGGAAAAAAACCTCACAGACTATCTGTAACAAAGTAACTAAACTTCGAGTCTCCTCGTGCCTGGTGTAGTGACTGATACTGTGCCTGGTCTTGCTTGTGGTTATTTAAGCGCAATAGGGACAAAATGGTGCGACTACTTTTTATTATACATATCAAAGTATCAAATTCAGCCTTAAACATACGCTTACAGTGAACATCTTGTTTACTTCAAATATGTGTGACATTCTTTTCCGAAGTTAAAATTCAAGGTGACTAGCATATAGTTCAAGTTATTTGTGCTAATAAATAACTCGATATATATTATTGTAAAATATGTAAAGTTTGACGAAACTTTACGGAAACGTTAAAGGGTCAAAAAGTGAGATCATGGTGTGTATGTTGGCTGGTTTTTATTCGATTTAATTCGATGTTTTCAAACATATCAATTTATTTTATTCAAGAATCTAAAAAACAAAAACAAAAACAAACGAAAATACAAAACAAAACAAACAACCAAAAAAAAAAAAAAAAAAACGTTTATTTCGCCCAATCTTTTCTCGATATTAATTTTTTGTCTGGTTGAAACAAATATCTTTTTGATAAAAATCGTCTGAACAAAAAAACAACAACAACAACAACAAAAAAAAACACTGCAAGCAATTGAGAAAACTGACAATATGACTAAAGTTAAGACCTACTCACTACTGATTTCTTTAATGTAGATCTGATGATGATCATATATGTTTCGTCTTCTTTTTTATAATTCGGATTTCCCGAGAAAGCTATTTTTTAGCCATGGAATCAAATCGGCATTAAAAGAAGTATACAAAATATCCTGTTTTTTTCGTGGAAGTTAAACAAATTGTTGATTTTTGTAAGAAAAAAAATGTTTTGAAGTTATTTTTAACAAATTAACTTCAAAAAAGAGTCCATTTTTAATGGACAATATTGTTTGCCAGTTTACCTGTCGGCTTTATGGACAACGCCATGTTTGTTCTCGAAATCATGTAAATTACCTACACAGTATTGGTTTTACCAGGGTTAAAATAAGAAACCACATCGCCATTAAAATTATGAAAGCTCGCCGTTGATTAGCTGTGTGAAAGGTCACCAGAAATGACTTCGTATTTGGATACGGTCAGATCTGAAAGCGGGCGTTATTTAGATTTTAATCAGATTGAGAAAATTGACTAAGAATAACAAGAAATGGTCTAGTCTGTGATTAAATTAATATATTTGTGTTAAAACATCTGATCAAATCGAACATAAATCAGTCATCTTACAACTCATGATCGTACTAAATGAAGACCCTTTTACGTTTCCGTAAAGTTTATATTTGTGCACATTATCCGGTCATCATCCTCTATAGCACTTTGGAGAAATTCACCTAACAGCTGATGAAAATGTTTAGTATCTTGTCGACGTTAAAATCGTAGATCACACGTACGATTTCAAAATTATTTCTTTTTTAAAATTTTGATGTTTACCAAGATAATTTTTGAACGTATATAAACACTTAAAAATTAAAGAAATAAAACATAATGTTGCATACCTGAATACAATCTAGTAAGTCTAAGTCAAAGTTCAAGATACAGACAGTCTATCACCTGGTTTCAAGGAGATCTCTGTATGAATCAAGAAGTATCTTTAAATAAAGATACTCGGCCAAAGTAAAAGTGGTTTACTTGCATATATATGAGATATCTAAGTTTATGATACATATAGAAATGTTAGCAATGCTTGCATAACACTAACATAATAATTTCTTGTACCTGAAAAAAAGAAAAAAAAACAACAACAACCCATTTTGTAAAACATTGAAATTCAATTTTAAGCATTCAACATCTGTTGATTTAAACATATTTATTTAAGCATATTTATTGCGAAACAAGTTCTAGCAACTTATATTAATCACTTTCGAGTCCTCTTCCTGGAACCAACCAGTACCAGTACTGGAACAGCAGTAAAATGAGTACAGGTGTCATACGAAACAGTACATATTATGATTGTAGAAACCGTCAGTACAAAATACCAACCTGTTGATATTAAATCGAATTTGTTTATAATTGTACATCTGTTGGCATTTGTAAATTAAAAATGGCTGATAGACTTTTCAATCATATTTGTTCCGAAAGGACTTTATTTCCCTCTGTATGTCAAATATATACATTCGATTTACATAATCGAAGATTACACTCTCTGTTCCTGTTAACAGCTAGAACTACTTTCAATCTATATTAACTCCAAGGTTATTATGAATTATAGCCGAGGAGTTCCGAATGCTTAATGTGCCAAAACATAAAACAATACTGAGAGAAAGAACAAAATAACATATCTGACAATAAACAAATGTTACCCGACTAAATATAACCTTTCCTGACTTACATCTTACTAACATCCGAGCTCCAGACGCTAAAACATTTCAAATTTCATAAAATGATATTGGAGAGAAACAAAATGTTGTTAAATATATAGTTTATCCATCAAACATGCCAAGAAATGCATGGTATTGAAATCAAAATATAACAATGTAAAATTTGTCAGTAACACTAGCGTTTGTGTAATTGCAGTTTTGTTTTTGATATACATGATTGTATTATTCTAAGTATTTTAAGCACATTGTTGCGACGGTCTTTTTTTCTTTGGACTAACGTTTATTTACAAGTCTTTAAAACAAATGCTCTTTAACAAACAATTTGACCCCAAAGCAGCAAAGAAACGTATTTTTCGTGCCACACTAGGACTTAGTACAGCTTGGTAATTGTATTTCTCTTTGCCGTTCACAGACACCTAAAACAGGAAAGAAATAATAATTATGTAAAGCGAGTAAAAACAACATCGTCTGCTTAAACCGAAAACTGGTAACGATTTTGTAACATAAAATCTATCGCAACTTTTCGGACCTTTCCGTCAAATTTCGGGTAAGAACCTCGAACACAATAGTAAGAATACACAGAACAGAACGGATAATGTATTGTGGTCAAGCGGCAGTTTCTGCGTGCCCTTTTCTTGTTTGATATTTTTATACAACATACATACAACCATAGTGTAGGAAGCTTTTGTTAGAATTTTGTAAAAGATTTATAATTGTATTACAAAAAGTATGGGCAGCCAATATTATGATAAAATGATACCAGTTTTGAGATATTCTTTCCATATAGAAATATAGAACACAACCTTTAACTTTAAGAAATACATTATGTTCAGTGCAATTCAACCAAAAAATGCGAGTTATCATGCGCATGCGCACACTCATTAAACAGATCAGAGCACGTGCATAGAAGAAGAGCAAAACGCACCTTTAATGTATCCGTAAGAATTTCCACCGTTAACTTTGCAGCGCTGCCTGACTTAATTTCGACGCCATTAGCATGTTTCATGTCCGCCCATTGTCCAGATACTATAGAATTGAAGTGGATCAAGTCTAAGTCACTCCGAAAAGATGTATGTAGGACATTATTTGACCCACTGTCGTCATACAGACTTAAAACAATCCTAAAAATGAATTTGATATAGTTTAGTAAGAACAATTTCAGGATGAATAATGTCATTTGTTGCGATTCAGATCGGAATATTAGTTCCGAGGGGACCTGCTGTAACACCGCAAAACGTCCGTACCGAAAAACGTACGTATATGGACGTTTTGCGGCGCATATCGTCCACATTTTGCGGCAAAAAAGACATGGTCCTGCCGCATAACGTCCATATTTTAAAGTTTATATCATCTTCGTTAATTTTGACCAGTTATTTTCAGTTGTTATTATGTGTTAATTTTAGCTCACCTGAGTATGTGCATGTCTGTCTGTCCATCCAAAGTTAGCTTGCTACCACTCTAGCATCCAATATGTCCAGAGTTATCTGCCATTGAATTACATTTCACATTGTTACCACTCCAACGCTTTCATTTCTTCTTCAATCTTGACAATTTTCAACAGAATATCTATGACCATAAAATCTCAACAAAGTTGACTAAATTTAACAAAAAAAAAAAAAAAAAAAAAAAAAAAATAAATAAATATTAAAAATAAACGCACTATATTTCACCTTGATAGTGCTTTCGTTTTTTTCCATTCTTAATTTTTTTATATACAGAATATGTATAACAATAAGGTCTCGATCAAGTTCATTTATGAGCTAAAACGGCTGAATATGTCAAGAGTTATTTGCCTTTGATTAATAAGTAAAGACATATTTAAAGTCAAATTATTGAATTATGATAAAACTGCCATTTCTTTGTTATCAATGATCAGATGTCATTCATACATTTATGACAGGACGGACATCTTGAATAGTTAAACTATAATATTGACCTTGAAATGACCTTGACCTCAAGGTCGCTATTGAATTTTGCTTAAATTACCATAATCTTTGTCATTTACAGATATTTGGATATTGATGCCCATTTCAGACGTAGAATTGAGTACTGATATCAGTTACCCAGATTCTGGCCAAGTTCTCTCTCTCTCTCAAATATGACTAGGCGGCTAAAAGCACAGCCATCTCCACCCCCCCCCCCCCCTCCGCGACAAAAACTCTCTTACTGAATTATGACTAGGCGACTTAACGGCCCCATCACCATGATAATATAGCTCTCTCGCTCAAATATGACTACGCTGTCAAAAGCCCCCATCCATCACCCGTAAAAATGAACGGTAGGACCAAACCTCCATAGTCAACAAAGGGACAAAAATTCATACCCTCGTCTTGATCCAATTATATGAAAAGCTATTGTCAAAAGCAAAGCTTAATAATCCCCGGTTTGTCCGTCCGTATTGCCGTCATTTTCTGTATGTCTATAATATTACATTTATTTCAATAACATCGTTTTTATATCTCTGCTGCTGCTGCTGCTGCTGCTTGGTTCCATTCCATAAAAAAAATCTATTCGAAAAACATCCTCGGCTTAAGTATATTTCTTTTTTTAAAATAAAAATTGAGAAGAAAAAAAAAAAAAAAAAAAGTCAGAATTATATAGGATCACAAAAATATTGCACTTTAATGTTTATTTCGTCATATCTGTACATGAAACAATATGAAAGTGACAGAACCAATAAAAGTAACGTTTATAATGAATATATTTTAATACAGAAAATATGGACGATATGCGACGCAAAGACCCACTCTCGTCGCAAAACGTACCAAGTACGATATGCACCGCAAAATGTCAACATGTGTACGATATGCGACGCAAAACTTCCAAACGCGTACGTTTTGCGGTACGGACGTTTTGCGGTGTTACAACCCGCCCATTGGGCGGCAACGAGGCTTGCCCAATCGCAACTACTCGGCCCTTTCCGTCAGTCTTCGGATAAGGATCTCGAACACAATAGTATAAATACACAGAACGGATGTGGTATTTTGGTCTATGCTACGCTAAGAAACTATAATCATGTAAACAAATAAGTGAATTCATAGCTACAAAAGAACACAATACATTATTCCTTTATTTATTATTATGGTTGTAGAAACCGAAAGTACCAAACACTAACCTGTCGACATTTAGTCGGATTTGTTTAAAATTGTACATTAGTGGGCATATGTAAATTACAATTGTTATTAGACATATTTTTTCAATCATAAGAGTACCGAAACAGACTTTACTTTTCTTTTGAATGTCAAATTTATACATTCGTTTTACATTATCTCTGTTTCTGTTTACATCTGAAACCACGTGGTAGAACTATTTTCAATCCGTATTATTTCCGAGGTGATTATAGATAATAGGCGAGGCAGTTCCGAATGGTGGCTTGCCACGTTACGGGCGATTGGCAGGTCACGGGGGATGGATATTCTGATCCGAACCGCAGATATATGGCAGATAATTTTTCTTGCATATACTACCATATTCCATCATATTTTAAATTCGTTTTACCTTAAAAACAGATTCCTATAAAATTTATGACTATTTTCTGGCAACAGCGTAATAATTACAACTTCATTCATAACGGCCAAATTATGTCATCCTTAGCATACCATTGTATAGCACGTGACTCATCTGGCACCCCTCATGCCTAAATGAAATTTCCGAACGGAAACACAGGTTTGATATGCAAGATATCACAACTGATGTGTAAAAAGCAGGTAGGTAGTTGGAGAGATAGGTAGAGCGATAGATATTCTTTTCTCTAATCTGTTTAGTATGGGATATCTAAAAGAACCATTTCTGGTGTTTGACATTAACATAATAAATATTTAATAAAATTTGAGAATTTTAAACGTAAATATGGCTTACTGATTCCACGGCTCCTGGGGTATAAATACAACCTCAATGCTACTTCCGGTCACCAGTTCACCAGGTATTGGTGCCTCGTACCTTATATAATTGCTATTGTTTACTTTGAACAATGTAATCTGGAAACATATTAAGATACAAGACAATTTGTAAATATGGTCTATTACGACATTCAATCTGTTACATCTAAAGCATGTTAACATAGTGTTTACGGCATTCAAATCTATTATTTAATATAACAATCGTGATATTTACCATTCCGTGGCAAACTGACTGTTATATTCGATATTTATACCCGTTTTGCATTTTAAGATGGTGGTGGCGCATAAAATGAAACGTCAGTTTCATATTATCATAGACAAACAGTATTATTGCCGCCGTTATATACAATTAACAAAATTTGGTCATTTTTACTCGCACACCACCTGCTCTAAGCCAATCAAAAACGGAGAATTCAAGAGTACATGATAACAAAATGGACGATAAAATACATACTGCCTACGAAGCACGCCATCCGCCATGTTTTTGGCGGGTTACCTATATATAGAATTAAAATACTTTTTTGCGGGTTACCTATGTATAGAAATAAAATACTATCTCTATACGAAGCTCTAGGCTCTTGGGTTGTAAACATAATAATCATTAGGAAAGAGTACATTATGTTCGAATACTCGGCTGAACGGCGATTCTTAGGATTTTTCGAAATGCTATACATGTACTTGTAAAACAGTGCAATCTAAAAGCATGTTAACATGTTCTTTAGTACATAGCAATCTGTAAACATGTAACGTGACCTTTTACAATATTAAGTCTGAATAATTATACACCTAAATCTCACAAAACGATGAACATGGTATTGTAAGTGATCCAATATTTTGTAAAACATCAAACTTCTATTCCCATAATTCCGTGGTCCCACTGATTTGCTTCACAGACCAATGACATTGAAATTTTAATAAAATTTAGTACAGTAATTTTTTTATGATGTCCTTTTTTGTTAATGTAATTGAATTTCAACTTTTTGCTGACCACAACACTTACATTGAATAAAGAAAATAAGAAAATATATAAATATTATTATGCGGATCAGTTTGGTAATGTTCATTTTAGATTGTAACTCTTATTAAAATGGAAGTATGATGTGTAAACTGTTTAAAATTGCGGCGAAAATTTTATTCTGTTTATCAATAAAATAGGTTTCAATCTTTCCATTAAAGCCGTAATAATATTTGTTTTGTCACAAAAAAGAACATTTCCGACTGAAACAGTCTTTGTGGCGTCGTTTCAGCAGCCTCAGTTTTGAAGTCACATGCCGTTTCCTATGGTAACGTGCAGTTTGTGAAGCAAGGCTAATCAAATCAGTGTGTAAGGAGTTTGGTAATACAAATTTACATTGCAATCTGAAAAATGTAAACATGATCTTTAACGACATCCAATCTATTGTCATACATTGCAATATAAAAACATGTAAAAATGTTTAATCATTGCAGTATGAAAATATGTAAACATGTTCTCTTAGGATATTCTATCTATTGACATCAGTTGGGTCATTTTTCTTACGTGATTTTATTTTAATAATGAAAATGTTGTGCTATTATGATTAGAGTTGAAGTAATGATCTGGTCCCTTCTTACTTGGTCGTTCCATAAAGAAAGGGCCTTTCTTCTGATTGACTCCGTTAAAGTTCACGAAAAGCTGAAGTTTAACAAGGTTACAAAACATGCATAAAATTGTGAAATTTTTTGGACATTAATTGTAAATGTTGATTTTGGGCATATGCTACAGAAAACGACGACCTTTTCGCCATAAAAACTATTACGGATATGAATTGTTCATTCTTGAAGAAGATGAGCTCGAATAGAGTACAAGTATGTATATAATTGTGTATATCATACCGGAGTGTCAAATTCATTGCAATTCCAGGTTTTCTTTAAATATTCCGAGCCTGGTGACATTTCGCCTGACCATCCATACTGGACTGCCGTACACACGCCGTCCGGCGTTAATACGTGCCCAATATACTCGAACCCGACGTAAGTTTCAGCACATCGGTGCCTATCTAGCGAACTTATACCCTCCTGTATGGTTACAGCACTGTATCCTGCATATACAAGTCCGTCAATGTCGTGTATGTGTAGTTGAAATAGAACAAATACTGCCCCGAAAATATTCATTTTTCTCGATAAACTTATAATATTAAAAAGAAACTAAATGTATTTTTATTTTCAAAACGATTGTACCTTGATTTTATTAAAAAATCAAGCAGCACACTAATTCCAAAATTGTTTTCCAAAGTGTTTCAACTCTTTTTAATTTAATTTTTGACACTTTTACATAATTTATTTATGAAGAAACTGTCTATAAAACTAGAGAGTTCATTTAATGCACACATTCTACTTATATATGTGTCCAAAATACATTAAAAAGAGTGTCATACAAATTGATGAAAGGAAATGCAGATGTAAATCCGGGAATAAACGGAAAGCTTTTAGTAATTTCCTGTGACACTATGTACTAAAACATAGATTAAGCAGCTTCTATTGTGAAAGAATTGATCTAAATATTTGCTTAAAACAATACAATGCGTTTGAAGGCGACATTAAGAGAATGCAAAATCCAGTCACTACACTAGACTACCGCAAAGGCACTCAGTAGGGCACCGAACAAAATGCATTAGAGGGCAACCAAGCCAAGACATGTCGTGGTCGTACCAATTGAAAACTGAATAAAGAAACCCCCAAAAATGTCAAAGTCATATGAAGCATTTTAAAGGAAGTAAAATAAGACAATTGTATAGAATTGTCAGGGAAATATCTAATACTTATAATTATGATCTTCGTTGAATCCTTTTGCAGTTTTATATTTGACTAAAATGATAATAAATTTGCTACAGTAAACGCTTTAATTACAAGTTTTCAAATAAAATGCCTTTGAATAAGATATGTGTGTGTATTTCACCTTTACTTGGACATGGCAAATTAAAACATTTACACAATATGAACAGAAACATATTTTTTCTTGTTTTATGATCTTCAAAACATACAAATGAAAATAAATGAGTGTAAAAAGTGCCCCGGATTCTCAAAATATGGCCAGTTTATATCTCCAATAACTTTGTCATATCAGAAGCTGTGTGTGCCATAATCATTGCCTTAAGAAAGAACATATTATAAATTTTCAAAATAACATATAAACCAATTTATCTGAAGAAAATACATACGAGTGTTGTAAATATTCATGACTCCATAGCCATTTTGTCAAATTTGAACCACATATGCAACTACTTCACGTCCTGCTCCTTGCATGATTCAATTTTCAGATAGCTTAAATGTGACAACTTAGGTAATGACAACATATTAACTGACAACTTAGTCAAATTAAAGATGTGTCTTTATAAAATAACACTGGTAGAGTAGTTCTCGATGAGAAGTGTTCAGTGGTAGAGTAGTTCTTAGTGAGTAGTTGTCACTGGTAGAGTAGTTCTCGGTGAGAAGTGTTCAGTGGTAGAGTAGTTCTCAGTGAGTAGTTGTCACTGGTAGAGTAGTTATCGGTGAGAAGTGTTCAGTGGTAGTGTAGTTCTCAGTGAGTAGTTGTCACTGGTAGAGTAGTTCTCGGTGAGAAGTGTTCAGTGGTAGAGTAGTTCTCGGTGAGAAGTATTCAGTGGTAGATGAGTTCTCGGTGAGTAGTGTTCAGTGGTAGATAAGTTCTCGGTGAGAAGTATTCAGTGGTATATTAGTTCTCGGTGAGTAGTGTTCAGTGGTAGAGTAGTTCTCATTGAGAAGTATTCAGTCGCAGATTAGTTCTCGGTGAGTAGTGTTCAGTGGTAGAGTAGTTCTCAGTGAGAAGTATTCAGTGGTAGATGAGTTCTCGGTGAGTAGTGTTCAGTGGTAGAGTAGTTCTCGGTGAGAAGTATTCAGTGGCAGATGAGTTCTCGATGAGTAGTGTTCACTTGAAGAGTAGTTTTCACTGGTAGAGTAGTTCTCGGTGAGAAGTGTTCATTTATATAGTAGTTCTCGGTGAATAGTGTTCACTGATAGAATAGTCCATTAGAGAAGTGTTCATTTATAGAGTAGTTGTTGGTGAGTAGTTTTCAGAGGAAGAGTAGTTCTCAGTGAGTAGTGTTTACTGATAGATTAGTTATCGGCGAGTAATGTTCATTGGTAGAGTAGTTTTCGGTGTGTAGTGATCTCAATAGATAAAATTTACTGTGTAAGATATACTCAGTGTGTGATTACAGTCAAACCCGTGAACAATGGACCTGCAAAGTAAGCCCGATCATGGCCTTCATAGACTAGTTGTTTTTATTTTGAGGTTCCTCTGTACTATATATTCAACGAGTATTTGCTAAGATTGATCACTATCAAGTATCAACAGGGTGATTTTTATTCGGAGATGGTCTTTGACACAGGTTAAACTGTTCTTAGTACTGTCTGAATAGTATTTGCAGTGTGATTTAAAATATGTGTAAAGTACGTAAAATTTTGACTGATTCATGTATACTTCACTTTTTTCTTTTGGTAAATTACATTCAAAATAATTACATTTACTCAACTTATTAATAAAATATTAAGTAAATAGAAATAGACGCCGAGTCAATATCAACTTCCTGTATGTTCCCGTTTCACGATATCCCGAATGGAATTATAAATCCCGAAATTCAATTTAAAGTGAAGTTATAGTCTTCGACGTATGGATTCAATTAAGATATCATAAATACGATGTATTTTGTACAAGTCTGAAATAAAATGGCCATATTTCTACAGTAAATATTAGTGTGTAATAGTGTTGGGTGAATTGTACGGACGAAAATGTGTTATTTGTAGTCTCTAGTAATGTGCCCGCCGATGGTTTTTATAAAATTGGTCATAAAAGTGGAATGTATTACAAATTCTGTCAAACTCGCAAAATGAGGTTTTGCCTTATTCATAATAGTTGCTATAGCATAAGTACGGAAACAAATCAGGCGCAATTTTGATTAACTATCAAGTACGGCAACATTTATTTGTTGATTTCGTGTTAGAATCGAAATAATATATCCAAATCAGTGATTTTATCGCTTGATAACATCACTGTTTGTCGTTCGGATGCGCATTATTATATCACTCGGGCTACGCCCTCGTGATATAATTCCTCGCATCCGAACTCGAAACAGTGATGTTATTGAGCGATAAAATCACTGTTTGGGATATATTATTTCTTAAATCGAGCTAAAATAAATATGTTACAAGTTTAATCAGTCAAGTTTGTTTTAAGAAAATTAATTCTTTGTTTTGATCGACTTAAGATGGCTGTCTACCCAGAATAAAGAAGTTGATAA